GAATTAAGACTTTTACTCTTTACAGATGACAAGATATTATATGTAGAAAACCCTAAAGACTCCAACAAAAACTGTTAGAACTAATCAACAAATTAAGTAAAGTTGCAGGATACAAAATCAATATACAAAAATCTGTTGTATTTCTATACATTAATAACAAGCTATCAGAAGGAGAAATTAAGAAAATCCTGTTTATCATTGCATCAAAAAGAATAAAATACCTAGGAATAAATTTAATAAAGGAGGAGAAAGACCTGTACACTGAAAACTGCAAGAAATTGATGAAAAAAATTGAAGACATAAACACATGAAACAATATTCTGTGCTCAGGGATTGAAAGACTTAATGTTATTAAAATGTCCATACTACTTAAAGCAATCTACAGAATCAATGTTATCCCTATCAAAATTCCAATGGCATTTTTCACAGAAACAGAAGAAACAATCCTAAAATTTTTCTGGAACCACAAAGGATCCCAAATGGCCAAAGAAATCTTCAGAATGAAGAACAAAGCTAGAAGCATTTCACTTTCTGATTTCAAACTATATTACAAAGCTATGGTAATCCAAACAATATAATATTGACATAAAAACAGACACATAGATCAATGGAACAGAATAGAGAGCCCAGAAGTAAACCCACCCATATATAGTCAGTTAATTTCCTACAAAGGAGCCAATAATATACAATGGGGAAAGGACAGTCTCTTCAATAAATGGTGTTGGAAATACCAGACAGCCACACACAAAAGAATGAAGCTAGACCATTATCTTACACCATACACAAAAGTTAACTCAAAATGTATTAAAGACCTGAACATAAGCCCTAAAACCACAAAAATTCTAGTAGAAAATATAGGTAGGAAGCTCCTTGATATTGGTCTTGGAGATGATTTTTTGGATTTGACACCAAAGGCAACAAAAGCAAAGATCAACAAGTGGGACTACATCAAACTAAAAAGCTTTTGCACAGCAAAGAAAACCATAAACAAAATGAAAAGGCAATCTAACGAATAGGAGAATATACGTGCAAGTCATATATCTGATAAGGGGTTAATATACAATATATGGTCATGCATTGCTTAGCTATGGGGATATGTTCTAAGAAATTCGTTGTTAGGTGATTTCATCATTGTGCAAACACCATAGAGTGTACTTACATAAACCTAGATCATATAGCTGCTACACATCTAGGCTATATGGTACTAACCTTATCAGCCCACTGTCATATATGGGGTCTGTCCTTGACTGAAACATTGTCAGGCAGTGCGTGACTGTATATAAAGAACTCATACAACTCAATACAATAAAAACACCTCATTAAAAAATGGGCAGAGGATCTGAATAGATAGTTTTCCAAAGAAGACACACAAATAGTCAACAGGTACATGAAAAGGTGCTCAACATCTCAAAGAGATGTCACCTCACACCTGTTAGAATGACCATTATCAAGAATACAAGAAATATCAAGTAATGGCTGGATGCAGAGAAAGGGAACCCTTGTGCACTGTTGGTGGGAATGTAAATTGGTGCAGCCACTAAGAAAAACAGTATGGAGGTTCCTCAAAAAATTAAAAATAGAACTAGCATATCCAGCAATTCCACTTCCTGGTTGTGATGTTATGATTCATAATAAACAATATATATTTGGTCTTTGTCCTCATTTCTGGCACAGAGCTCGGAAAATTCTTGGAATCTCCTAAGTGTTGAGAGTGACGAAGGTGTCTTTTGTTACGTTAATGAAGTGACTTTTGGAAAGCAGTTATGGATAGGGGCTGGTTGCCAATAGAGCTAACCATGTGATTAGAGGACTGGAACTTTCAGTCCCACCCCCTGACCTCCAGGGAGGGGAGAAGGGCTAGTTGTTGAACTGGTTGCCAATGGCTAATGATTTAATCATTCATCCCTGTGTAATGAGGCCTCCATTAAAACCCAAAGGATGGAGTTCTAAGAGTTTCCAGTTGGTGAACACCTGGAGGTGATGGGAGAGTGGCACACCTGGAGAGGACATGGACGCTCCACGCACTTTTCCCATATCTTGCCCTATGCATCTCTTCCATCTAGCTGCTCTTGAGTTATATCCCTTTATAATAAACTGGTGATCTAGTAAGTAAAATGTTTCTCTGAGTTCTGTGAGATGCTCTAGCAAATTAATCAAACCCAAAGAGGGTGTCCTGGGAACCTCTGACTCAGAGCCAGTCAGTCAGAAGCACAGCTAACAACCTGAGCTTGGGACAGGTGTGAAGTGGAGGAGGCAAGGTGGGTAGACTTGTAGGACTGAACCCTTAACCTGTGGAACCTGATGGTATCTCCAGGTAGACAGCGTCAGAATTGAGATGAATTGTAAGGCATTTAGCTGGTGTCCTGAGCATTGCTTGTTGATGTGGGGAACTCCACCTCACCACAGTGGAACTGAGTCCAAGGAAACCAAAAGATAGGTATTTATCTGAAGAAAATGAAACGCTAACTCAAAAAGACATATGCATCTCTACGTTCATTGTAGCATTATTTACAATAGCTAAGATAAGAAAATAAACTAAGTAACTATCAATGGATGAATGGATAAAGAAAATGTGATATATATATGTGTGTGTGTGTGTGTGTGTGTGTATACAGTGGAACATTATTCAGCCATAACAAAAGGAAATCTGGCAATTTGTGACAACTTGGATGGACCTTGAGGGCATTATGCTAAGTGAAGTAAGTCTGACAGAGAAAGACAAATACCATATGATCTCACTGATATGTGGAATCTAAAAAAAAATCAACAACAATAACAAAACCAAAAACCAAGCTCATAGATACAGAGAACAGATTGGCGGCTGCTAGAGGCAGGGGTGAGGGGTGGGCAAAACGGGCGAAGGGGGTCCAAAGGTACAAACTTCCAGTTATAAAATAAATAAGTCATGAGGGTGTAATGTACAGCATGGTGGCTATAGTTTGTAATACTGTACTGCATATTTGAAAGTTGCTAAGAGTAAATCTTAAAAGTTCTCATTATAAGAAAAAATATTTTGCAACTATCTACGGTGACAGATGCTAACTAGACATTGTTATAATCATTTTGCAATATAAACAAATATCAAACCATTATGTTGTACATCTGAAACTAATATAATGTTATATGTCAATTATACTTCAATAAAAAATAGCAATTTTTAAAAATTTAAAAAAAGAAATATCAATTAGCAATTATACTCCTAAACACTTGAGGATCTGTGAAGCATAATCTTCAGAGGGCAGATTTAAAAGGTCATATAAACATTTTTATGAAAAATGATAAACAGAACCATCTATATGTAAACACTGCCCAAACATCTATTTAATAATCATAAGCTGGATAAAAACAAGACACATTATTACAGCCAACATAAAAAAATCATGCTGACGATTACTATATTATTGCTATATTTGGTCTTGATAAGATATGCTTAGGTAACCATAAGGGAATAATTTAATTTCAGTAAAAATTCTAGTTGGCCTTCTTGGTTGTTGTTGAAGAAAACAATGAGAAATTTAAGAGTATCTCACTACTTTTCTAATGTTCCTGACTTGCTGAAAATAAGCATTAAAGAATGCCTGGCACATAGTAGGCACTTAATAAATAGCTGTTGAATAAAAATCAGTCTGTTTCACATGACTAGGGCTGGAGCATCACTTAGAACTCCTCTTGTAACCTTGTGTAGTTTGGCTGAGAGGCCAAGTTGAGCTAGGACTCTCATGACATTTGGGGCTTTACTCAGTTGAGAATAGCAAGTAACAAATCTTTTATTGTTACAGGTCATTGAGCGCTAACTCCAGAAATTTCCATCCAAAAATGATTAGTTTCATATCATAATTTTATAAATGTACAGAGTAAAAATTAGTATACAACAGACTGAGTTCCAAAAACAATAAATTCTTGCTGAGACATTATCTGCCTTCTATAGAATACATTCTCTAACTCACAGTCACAATAAGCAATTTGTGTGCACCTCTACTCTAGTTATAACTATCAAATCTCCATATCTCTCACCTAACAGACTAAGTTTCTTGAGGGAAATGACCACACTTTATTCTTCACTGAATGTATTGGTATAGACACTCAATAAAGGTTTTTTGTGAGTCACACCATGGCCACACCGTGCCAATGTATCAGAATTCAACAATGTCCCTGATTTTTCTCATCATTCTGATGTGTTTTCTGCATGGATTTCTGGAAGAGTCTCTCCCACTCTGTGCTCCACCACACCTCATGAATATGTCCATGCCCCACCATTGTCTTGACTGAAAACTACCTTGGGTTTCATTTCAGGTACGGGTAGTCAATAAAATGTGAAACTCCCGTAATCTTCCCTTTTGCCTGTCTTCATTGTCTTCAATAGCACTTATATAAATACTTTTATAAAAGCTGATCCACCAACACCCTCCTTCTTTTCTTTCTTTATTAATTTTCCAGGGATGCTAGGATAACTTGAGAGTCATACAAGTATAATGCAGAAAGAATGGATGCACTACCTTGGAGAAACTCAAAGGAAATTCTCACAGATTTAAAAATATAAAGAACTAACCATGATCTATAGTTTTATGACAAAATTATTTGTAGGTGCACTATAGCTTGAAAGAACCTTCTTAAGCATTATACAACCCTCTGCCATTAATTGTACTGGAATGGCAAGTGTTTAGAATAACAGCAAGCATTTTCATGATCTCAAAAAGAATTTAACAAAGGAATGTTTCTAATACGTTCTCCTTCTTGTCTTTTGAGTTCTGTCATGCATTTATTTCAGATTTTATATGCCAATACACCAAAACTGAAAGTTAAAGAGATGTCGTCATTCATTGCTACTGTTTTAAAGCTGATCTGGTTTGCTTTCGTCTGCAAGTCATTTCGGTTGTGTAGAGGTCTCAGTTCTGACTGTCTTCATTAAACAACACTCACTTGAGTAGTAAGCACGTTGCACTCAGAGAGTAAACGTGTACACATAAATCTCAGCCCAGGGAGTCAGTACTTTCACTCACCACAACTGGCTTCCTCCGCTCCCCTTGGGCAGTCAGACGTAAGATCATAGAACTTGCTGGATGAAGAATAGTCTGCATCCTCAAGGGGCACAAATCCAGCTTCGAAATTAGGAGGTGGAGAGGATATAACATCTTCTTGTCCTTCAACAAATAAAGGAAACGCATAATTGTCTAGGAATACTAGTTTTTAAACATGCCAAAGATGACGAAGCTGGATAAAAGGCCAAATCAGAGCACAATTAGCTCTTTTCAATTAGCCTATGGTGCTCCAAATGTAAACACAAAGCTAATGCGTTCAGGATTGCTGTGAAGAGGCTTTAATTCACAGGGGCTCAGCAACTCTCTGGCCATTCGGTCCTACGAATATAATATAATTCACCATCCGTAGGAAAAGGCACATTTTTTTAACTCTCCTTGCAGTCCTGTCCCTAAATTTCTGCCAGGTGGTAATACTGAATTCCATAAAGGACATCCTGTAAATGCCTATTGCACAAGTTTGCAAAAACAGTTAAGAATTTTTTTTTCTTTGTGTAAAAGCTTTGGCCTTCAGGAATAATTTATAAAATTTTGGCCTAATTGGAATTATGCTCTAACCAACTGAGCTGGTGTTCAGATTGAAGCACATATAAATGAGTTTTGAGTGAATTTATGAAAAGAATTCTCTGTAAGTGAGATCAAGTACTCTCAGACACTTCTGCTGAGGTTAATTTTAGTGATAATTTAAAATCTTTAACCAGACTTTTGCCTCCCATTACATTCTCTTCAGCGTCAACTTTAATGCCTTCCCACTATTCCAATTCTGGTGATGCGGTATTTGATTAGGAGAAGGAAAATGTTTAATCAAATAACAGAAATAAGGTAATGCTCGTTAACCCTCCAAAATTCATTCATCATCAAATATGCTACACTACATTCTTCACAGTCTGTCAGAACCACACACATACACAGCTTATAAAGACGCACGACTTAAACTTCTCATAAACTCAGGACGCAGATTCTGAATAATGTAAATACATATTAACACAATATAAAGTTAGCACATAGAATTATGCAACCTCACCAATGAAAGATGTCTTTAATAAAGGACCTGTAATGAAAAGTCCTTTAACTCAAGTCTCAATCCAGAATCGTTTCTCCTATATCATCCTTGATTAGTGTATTTAACTCCTGCAAGAATGCAACTTTTCCTCTAACAAAAATATGCTGTTTAAAGAAATATAACTTCAGAATACGTGATGTGCCTGATTTCCACATGCAAATAACTTTCATGTATAGAGATTAAGAAAAATGAAATGTGACAGTTTCAGGTAACATTTTTAATATTGTCTATTTATTAATTGAGATCTATGGGTAGGAGTTGTCACAGAAAAACACCAATTACTGTTCGAATGACAAAGCAACTGCATGCACAGTGTAGACAGCTCCAATGCAATCTCTGAACCTAAGTAATGGTTAAATTTTCAAAAATGCCTGTTCAACTATTTGGGATCCATTTTTATGACAATCTTCCCGTCCCTTAACTGAAATTCTCTACAAAATATGTAGTCAAAGAATTAGCCAAACTGCATCTGTTTCTTGAAAATATTATGTTGTGAACTTAAACACAGAATTTTAGGTTCAAGTTTGAAATTTTTGGCTGTCCTTAGTCATTTTACTAAACACGATAATTTTTCTTTGAACTCCTCAGTGATTCTGAAACTTGAATGTCATTACATATTCATTTGAAGTGCCCAGGAAAATTAAAATAGAATTGAATTTTTATATAAATGTTTTTAAAACATGCAAAATAATTAAAATTCATAATTTTTATAATTAAAAAATTTGTATGTGACAGTTTTAACCACAAGCATAGAATATTATTGGAAGACAGCCTAAGGCCTAGACTGTGAGATATCATATTTCTACCTTTTTAACAAAATAGTTTTAGTTTTCAAGGACATGTGATATAATCCCACATCCTAGTATTAGGTTTTAGTCAGTTATATTATTGAAGGATTCTAATATATTTTATATTTTGATATATAGGAGAAATAATTATTTCAATACTCAAAATTATAATAACCACAAGAAAAAACTTACCTTTGTTTTGTACGCTGGTACCTGGAAGTGACTTATGCGAAATTTCACATTCTTGGGATATACTGATGTCATCTAGAGCGACGGTAGCATTTGATGATAAAACAGTAGCTTCTAAAATTAACTATAATTACAGAAAGATAAAATATTAAAAAAAAACACATAAAAGTGTTGAAATAACTTTCTAGACCCAAGATGGAGCCTCCTCTGCCCCAGGTGTTATGTCAGCACACCAAAACTCAGATGATTTTTGTGTCCCTGTAAATGCTCCACTTGACCAGAAACGCTGTATATTCAGTCAGCTAAACCCCAAACACCAAGCCAACTCCAGGCTCTTTACTATTTATTTTTGTTCCTTCTCACCCCAAACAAGTCTGTCTATGTGGCCTCAGTCAATCAGATCTTTTCTATTTTTCCCTTCCTTCTTCTTTATTCTCTATGTTTTAAGCTTTCTGTCTTCTGCCCCATTTTACATTTCTCGAAATGGAGAAATGGAGACTGTCCATTTCGTGAAGTGTTAAGCAAGGTTTGTTTGTATCACCAAAATTGTCTTCTTTAATCATTTTTTAAGAAAAACAAATGACTTACATTATTTCTTTGTGTAGAGAAGCTCATTTGCATTTGTCCCACCTTCCAATCTAATTTTAGAAAATTGTTTTGACCAGAACATTCACGTTATAAATGTATAAAGTCATAACTGCTTTGACAGCATCTGCTGTAACCTTAATATCTTAGGTAACCTTGTTTCAATTAAAAGTTGTAACATTCATCATTACTGAAGGGCTGCCTTCCCATTGGAGCCATTAAGAGTTATATGCATTTAAAATGAGCTCTTTGGGGTAATCAACTGTGTACTTTACAACTCAATTTAATTGAGATATGAATTCATTTGTAATGGGTCTGCTGGAGGCAATGATTCATTTCCATATCAGAATATTTAAATACTTGTATATATACAATGTATACATATACGGAAACCTACTTAGTGAGGTAAAGCGTACAATCAATAACCACATACGCTGGTTAATAATACTCATATGCTAAAGCACTTGGAAGTATCTAAGTTTAATTTATTTTAACACTCTGAGTAATGATGGATATAATTTTTCTCTTTTGTTAATCGCTCACCTTATTACGTTGCTACTCCACCATCTTAAAAAAAAAAATCAAGAAAGAAATTACGTCTGGAGTCTTAAGGATGCATAGCAGGGCCAGCAGCCCAGCACAGAGTTAGCAGGTGCATTTCCATCTTATCAGGGAGGATCTCTGATCTCAAAGATCTTACAACTTACTCAGTATGATACATTAAGAACTAAACTACACCTTAAGTGCTATACAAGAGATATGTATAAGATACTAAGAGAATCAAAAGAAAGTACTTTATTTCTGCCAAGAATATGAGACAGAATTCGAAAAAAGACTTAGTAAAGAGGTAATATTAAGCCTCAGTTATAATTGCAGGCTAGGATTTTGTTACTTTGAGAAACTGGTAACATAACAAGCAAGAGCAAGGAGATGTGAAAGTGTGGGGTATATTTCGAAAACTCTGGGTGTCACAGGATGATGGGTTCAAGACACACTACCCCAAAATATGGCACCTTGGCATACTGAATATTTTAAGCTAAAGGAACCTGAGAAATGGCACATGCAGGATGGACATGCCCTTCCCTTAAGGCAGATCATAAAATCCTCATGTGAGAGCTGCCCTCCTTATACCCAGAGGTATCCTTATCTGCAAAGACAAAAGGATACAGAAGAATCTAGACAGGATTCTTGCTAAGTTTCCTCCAGTTTACTACACTAGCTCACATTCTTTCCCCTATCATATCTTTCCATGACTGTCCACTGATCACCAAACCTAGCAAAAAGACACTCATCTTTAACTGTTTTGGGGGGTCCTCACTTCCTTTTGCAGGCTCCCATGCCAGGGGGAGTTTGTTTAAAACTTAAACAATTTTATACTCTTTTCTCATCTTAATCTGCTTTGTCAGTTTAATTTTCAGACCCAGCCAGGGACCCAAAGAGGATCAAGGAAAACTTTTTTCTCCCCTACATAGGAGCATAGAATTTAAGATTTTATAAGATTATCAAGGTAATTTGAGAATTTAAATTTCAAATTATGTGTAGATGTCTTTCCCCTCCAAAGCTCTTTTTCAGGATCATGCTGATTATTGTTTTATTCAACTATATTATATTACGCCCTAAAAGAGCAAAATCATTTATTATTTTTGCTACGGGAACCACAGCAACTTGTAAATATTGTTTACAATCAAGTGATTACTTTTCACATCTGCAAACCCAAGGGAAGGTTTTCCAGAGAAATGCTCAACCAGCATATTTAGATTTTGGTTCTTTGATATTTTGTTTTAAAAAATAACAGAATGAATAAATATGAATCTAAGAAGAAATGTAGAAAGTAGGAAAAGAAGAAGTAAAGAAAAAATGGAATATAGTAATGTTTTAAAAGTTTTTATGAAGTTAATGATAGGTTACAAACTTGTGAAATTTCAGTTGTACATTATTGTTTGTAGGTGCACCACTTCACCCTTTGTGCCCACCCCCAACCCCCCCTTTCCCCTGGTAGCCACTAATCTGTTCTCTTTGTCTACATGTTTAACTTCCACATGTGAGTGGAGTCATACAGAGATTGTCTTTCTCTATCTGGTTTATTTCACTTAACATAATACCCTCAAGGTGCATCCATGTTGTTGTGAATGGGACGATTTTATTCTTTTTTATGGCTGAGTAGTTGGAATATAGTAACTTTTAAAGAATGATGATGGTATTAATAAGATCAACAGCTAACTTTCATTTAGTGCTTACTACATACAAGAGACATTCACTGGTTTTAACTCTGTGAAGGTGGTGCTATTTTCATCCTTATGTTAAGCAAAGGAAACAGAAGCTTAGAGAGTTGAAGTAAATTGGTTGAAGGTCACATATTGAGTAAGAAAAATATGTAACTTGAGCCATTAACAATTATGCTCTACTGTATCAACTATAACGAAATAGATAACTAATCTTTAGCAGATAGATGCTGCAGAACAGAGCTACCTGGCAAAGCAGGATTTAACGAGGCCCTGGATTAAGAAGGCTGAGGACACAGCAACTTTACAGAGACTAGACCAGCTTTTACTTTTGTATTATAAATCTTACCCTTCACTGAATCTTCAAATAATGTCAGGAAATTGTTATCGATTTATATCATTAACTCTGATCATGGTATCAATCATGGCGGGAAATTTCACATAAGGGTCATTTTAAAATGAAATCTAGAATATGACACCATTATGTTTTAATACGAAACTCAAAGAAAGCAGATCAATTGGAAATCAATGAAGAGTACTCAGAAAAAGTGTCACTTCTAGATATGAAAACTCAGAACAGAAGTTAGGAAAAAAGAAAGTATAAATTAAATAAATAAATTTGTGTAAAAAACCGAACATATAAAACAAGCGGGCCAAGTTAAAACAGATTATGAAGAATACTATTAACTACTTGCCTTACAGTCTCCCAATAAAAGCTGCACAGGAAATGTAGGGAGCATCGAAATGTGGTAATTTGCTGTTCTTACAGAAAAAACAGTAAGCCGCATCCTTTTCCACCAGGAAGAATGAAATCCCTCCCCAATTAGGTGTGCCTATTTCCTTATGAACTCAACGCAATTGGCACTCCTGTGATGTCCACAGGAGACATCAAAAGGGTCACACTGAAGCAGGATTTCATGGGGGCAAGGGAGCACTGAGGTCATACAATCTGATGCCTTCTTCCTTCCCAATTCTGGACTGAACTGGATTACACTATACAAACATGGCTCAGAGTTTAGTCACATTGAACTGATGGCCAGGCAATGGCTAAGGTCACTCTTAAATGTTTCAGTCCGCTAAATTTAATGTGCCAAAGAAGACTGTTTTCAAGAAGATAAACTTTATATATTTGAATATTTAAAAGCTGGATTGGCTGCTTGTAGGTATAACATCTTTTCCATTGATTGTTGATAAAAGCATGAAGTACAACCGCACCTAGCTAGAATCCTCATGAATATTTCCATACTTTTGAAAATACACTTAGAGAAATCAGGTTAAAATCAAGATTATATAAGCATTTTTTTTTCCTGCAGAGGACAAGAAATGGAAAAGAAAGGGGTACAAAGAAGACAAAAGCTACATCTTTATGGGCAAACAGATTAACATTATAAGCAAACAAAATGTTAACAGTTAATTCTGGGGTGTGAGTACACGGGTATTTGCCTCTCTCTGTATTTTCTACTTGTTTGAAATATTTAATAATATTCTGAGTAATATTAATGTGTTAACTAATACTGTTTGTATATATCTGTGTGTGACTGTGTGTATTTATGCATCTTGTGTGTGTGTATTAAAAACCTGAACTAATTCACACCAGAACGTTAACACGGGCCCACAATTTCTTATCTAGAGTCTTTGGGTCCAGCTGGGTTTTGAAATGTGAATAGTTCAGAGTTGAGAGTGTTACTCTAACACACATTGTGTATATTACGTGATACCCTCAGGGAGAAGAGGGCAGCACTCTATAATCAAGCCCGTCACTAAATGAACTGCCTAACGACTTTACACTGGTTCAGGCCAGGTTCAATTCTGCCGTGAAATTCATTTTTCAAAAGCTTATTGCATTCCAAATCTTAATTTTCCAAATTGGTGATTAGAGATTGTGGACCTGTAATAAATAGCCTTTTTAATGGTGGAATTTGAGAGACTATTTCTTATTTTTCTTTTTATTCACCTGTGGTTTCTTAAACAAACCTGTGCTACAGCCAAGTAACAGGATTGAATAAGAAGGAACAGAGGCACAGACTAAAACTCTTACCTTCGCAGGAGTGAATTAAACACGGCTGCAGCCTAGCAAGAACCCAGAACCAGGGGCCGGCACTGGGACAGTGGTTAAGCTCGGCGTGCTCCACTTTGGTAGCCTGGGTTCATGTGTTTGGATCCCAGGCACAGACCTACACCACTCATCAGTCATGCTGTGGCAGCAACTCACATACAAAATAGAGGAAGATTGGCCCAGATGTGAGTTCAGGGCTAATCTTCCTCAAGCAAAACCAAAAAAAAAAGGGGAAGATTGGCAACAGATGTTAGCTTAGGGCAAATCTTCCTCAGCAAAAAAAATTTTAAAAAATTAAAAATTAAAGTGAACAAAAAAGAACCCAGGACCATTCACTCCCCTCAAAGGACATCATGATTAAGCTGAGGGTGACTGGTGCTGCCTGGGAACCGTCAACTGGGGAGACAGAAAAGCCAACACATGGCACTGAGCCCCCACAGAAGGGAGTGAAGAAAGAGAGGAGAGCAGCAGAGCAGGGCTGCTTTAGAAAAATCACAAATCTGCAGCTGCCAAATTATGACATCCTCTCAAATCATTGGTCAATCTACAAACTAGTTCACACACCACAGATAATAAACAGTAGTCTCAGTTTTCACTGCAAAGCAAAACAAAAACTAAAACCCCAAAGGAAGAAATATTAAAGAGAAAAATCTACACTGTGCTGAATGTCTTCAATAATAGTGACAGGTTAATGAGTGCCTCCAGGCCGAAAAAGGAATGGCATGCGTTTTAATTCATAATATTTCTCAAACAGCTACAATTCTAACAAAACATGTTCTGGTTTTTTTGTTTTGTTTTGTTCTTTCTTAAGACTTTTAGAGCAGTTTCAGTTTTGCTGCAAAATTGAGGGGAAGATACAGAGTGTCTCCATATACCTCCAGCGCCCACACATCCACAGCCTCCCCATCATCAATATGGCCCACCAGAGTAGGACAGTTGTTACAATTGATAAACCTACAGTGACACATCTTAATCATCCAAAGTCTATAGTTTACATTAAAGGTCAATCTTGGTGTCGTACGCTTGATGGGTTTGAACAAATGAATAATGACATGTATCCACCATCAGATCATCACACAGAGTATTTTCGCTGTCCTAAAAATCCTCTGTACTCCACCGATTCGTCCCTCCGCTCCCCATTTCCCTCACCCCCCCAACCACTGATCCTTTTACTGTCTCCATAGTTTTCCCTTTTCCAGAATATCATACAATTGGAATCATGTATTATGGAGCCTTTTCACATTGGCTTCTTTCATTCAGTAATATACATTTAAGTTTCCTCCATGGCTTTTCAAGGCTTGATAGCTCATTTGTCTTTAGTGCTGAATAATATTCCATTGTCTGGACGTACTACAGTTCACTTACCCATTCACCAACTAAGGACATCTTGGTTTCTTCCAAGTTTTGGCAAATATGAATGAAGGTGTTACGTGCAGGTGGTCATGTGCAGGTTTTTGTATGGACAAGGACATTCTGTTTTCTTCCCAATATGTCATTTAACAATAGACTCTGAGAGATACTAATAAGCTACAGTCTAACTAAAAGTAAACCTAAAGAAAAGAATTTTATACAGACTATAAATACTTGAGGCAAGGGATCAAATTATTCTGATTTTGTTTGCCCTGTCACATGTAATAGAGATTGACACTAAAATGATTCCATGACTGGTCTTTATGTCAAATGTTTTCCAGCTGTTAAGAGCTACTAGATTCATGATGCTTTTGTCCACTGGGTTTGGGGGTGGAAGCATAAATACGATCCTCGAGAATCAGGGGAGTTTAGAGACCTTCAGTGAGAGAAGAAACCGCTAACCATTGAGCCCAGAGTTCTGGTCAAGATGAGACTTTCTTTCAAAATAATGGACACTAATATTTATTCAGTGTCTACTATTCCCAAACAATATCCAAGTAATAACCACAATAACAATAACAGTTAACTTTTGCGTGTTTACTTCTTGCCATATTATCTTCCATGTGCTTTACATGTATAAACCACTTAGTCCTCATATTTCTACAAAGTAGGTAATACTAATAGGAGTCGATGCTTATTCCCTATTCCTCCTGCTTCCACCTGTAGGAACTTTCTGGAAGTAACACTGCTGTTACTGACCTCTTACTCTTTGCCATGAGAGAAGGATGATTTAATTGATTGGTGATGTTGGAAGAATAAGCTGGTCATGCTTAATTCACTCTCTTCTTCTCTTATTCAATGGCCCCCACCCTGCTTTGGGGAACTAGCCTGTCTTCAGGAGGCATGCATTCCGATGTTATCTCTGGTTAACGGTAAAAGTTTTCCCCAAAGTGTGAGTCCTGTATTCTCTAGCAGAGTTAGTTGTTCTCTGAGTGAATCTGTTTGTCCTGGTGAAGTATTATTTTAAATATATGGCTGCAGATTCTAAAGGAATCTCCTCCAAAATATTTTGCTCTCTATCTGTTGACTTCTATATTTATCTCAGTTGGTTCATAAATGAGTACTAGATGAGGTGTGTTATTTATCAGGGGCTCCTAACACCCCAACAACAATTCTCTTCCCTCCTCATTTACAGAGGAAGAAACAGGCATGGAAGGATTAAGTAACTTGCCTATGATTGTACACTTGGGCTTGAACCTCAGACTCCAGAGACCATGTTCATAGCTACCATTTTAGCTAAATTCTCTCTAATACTCAGATTTCCCTCAAGTATTCCTTTTACTTTCACTGCGGTTTTCACAGACTGGGGAATATAAAGCTCAAAGACGTAATTTGCAGTCACTCAGCAACCCATGAGCTGAGCAGAGATGGGAACTTAGACCATCTGACTCCAAAGGCAGTGTTTTTCCACTATATTCCACCATCGAAATCTAGTTTCTAAAATAGCCCTTTTAAACATCCTCCAGAAGGGAGTCATGCCCAGGAGGGTGGAAGTTGGGGCATCCATTTGATAAGCTACAGTTGCCTTCTTTTATTATTAACCAAGAAAATGACATAAAAGGTTGATAAAATCCTCAATATTAATGGCAGCTGAAGATGAGGAAATAGGATTAAAATATGAGTACAGCCCAAGTCAGATTTTTTTCACTACCTCACGCAATCCACCTCTTCACTTAAAAAAGCAAATATTTCCTGTTAAATTACTCTTCTCTCTGCTATCCTACTCAATTCTTATCTCCACTTTTGCTATACTTTCACAAATAAGTCTTGAGCACATAGTCAAGATAACCTCTTTACTCATCCCCAGTTGTGAATGTGCTTGCTTTATTAATATCAGATAAACTTATGGGATATATACATTACATTGCTGTCTGAAAAGATTAGGATTAAATAAACATCTTCTGCTGAGTTGTATTAATTTCTTATATGCTTACCTGAAAAGGCAGAGTAGATTCCCCAGCCTTCGCACAGAGGTCGATTTTTGCTTGTCTCCACTGAGATTCCGAGATTCCAATTAGATCACCTTGCTTTTGCAAATTCCCATCCAGTGATGTTCTTGTAAAAACTGAGAGATGTGAATGCTGAGACAAATGATACCAAAACCGCAGCTGGTGGGGAAAGTTTTTTAATAACATCAATATTCCATTTACCTGTCTCCAGTAGCTGTTCTATAATTAAAAATATCCCCAACTACTTTGGCGTTAAATATAATCCTCTCCATTCTCCTTTCCTCCGAATATGCAAGCCCAGAAAATGCAAAGTACATTCTTTGCCAGCCTTTGTATCTCCACTTAAAAACCCTTAAGGCAGCTGTGCTCACTGGTCTTCCTAACACCTGCCATAGAGCTGACTAAAGCAATGGGACACTAGCATACTACCAAGAAAAGTCTGAGGACACTTATACATCCATACCATCATGGGCAGTACCACTCTGCTGCCATGGAAGTTTCTCAGCTTCTCTCTTGCTTCTTATAAATCCGGGGGGGACACACATTCTGACTCAAAGTTACAAAATCAGGTTTTGTTATACATTCTCCTTGACACCCCAACATCAAACCAAGAAACAGTTTTCTTGAAAAACTGTTCTTGGGTAAAAGAGAATTGCATGAATACTTTTCGTTAGTTCCTTCCTATTGTGTTGTTATCAAAGAACGTGGGAGCTCTTATGATACTGTTAATAGTTTAATCCAAGTGAGAAACATTCTTTTTGAGGCTAGGGTGCCTTGATTATCTCACCTCCTACTCTCTATCAATGAGAACATAATCTAAAGGTTTGACAGGTTAACTAGGTAATGAAGAAAATATAGAGAGAGGATTATTTTAAGGGCTGATAGCAGTAGCTATAACATGGAATTCAGGACTGTCATTTCTTCAGCCAATATTTACTGAGCATTTACTAAGTACCAGGCACTGTGTGAGACAAAAATTAATTTGTGAAATGGTTGGATGATTCCCTCTACAAAATATGTCAACAGAAACTCCATAAAAAACAATTAAGACACACAGCAATCAGTTTTTTTTCCTTCTCATTATGACATAGAGAGTTTTGAGGCTGCATGTTTCAAAGAAAAAGACAACATTCAGAGATGAGGCCCCTCAGAAATGAAATCCTTCTCTTTGGATTCAAAGTGACTCCTTTGCAGTTTCACTATATTTTACATTCTTGGTTTTTTCCTTCATCATTGTGCTTTTATTCTGTTACACGATCAGATATTAGTGCATATATAGACACCCATTTATTTCACTGCTGGTACTAATTTCAGTGGAGATGAAAATTGACACAACTTTTTTTTAATTATTCAGTTTAAAACATCAAGCATTCTCGGTTCCAAAGTGGTACACATTTTTTCTCAATGTCTACATAATTGCCACCACCCAATCAAAAAAATTCTTTCTGGTTGTCCGTTTCATTTTAGATTTCACTACCATACTCACCTAAACTCAGACTTTGACAGGTAAGCGAGAAATGTAAAATTATATGGAAGTGTTTAATTAAATTCTGCGAAAAGGGAGGATGTATGTTCCTCATCTACAATTAAATTTTAGATCCCTGCTGTAGTTTCAGCAAATTCCCAGCTCGTAAATATGCAAAACAGAGCTGTAAACCTAGTTGTACAAGAAATATGCATGCCCCGTCAGAAACTTAAGCTGTCGAACTGTCACTCCATACATCACCAGTGCAAAGTCATTTAAGTGTATTAAGAGTAAATACCAATGGGATCCATCTTCAATAGCATAAGAGCTTAGAACTTATATTTAATTTACTATTTTAACAGAATTGGCATTGTAGACACTTAAGGAGAGTTCTTTAGTTTATTATAGAAGAGGAAACTTTTCATAGTCTTTTCAAGTTTCATATTGGTAAGGGTAAAATCAATTAACATTATAATTTATTAATACTACTTAATATTAATACAGCTGTGACTTCAGATAGGCACTCGTCAAGTGTGCAACCTCTGTGACTCTCAATCTTATATACACTAGTAGTAAAACACTGTCATAAACTCAAAATCATGTTACATGTTGTGAATTCCTCACAGACCCTATTACGGAGATTTGTATTTAGTAGGTATTCAGTTAATAGGTATTGAAAACATAAGGAAAGAATAAGTGAGATTATTAGCATCAGTGCTTAAGCAAACGTCTATAAATTTTCACACAGAGAGAGTAAGAGAGAGAACCTGCTCTGTGTCAGCAAACGCACAAGGGATTGGGTGTCCTTAGGGATCTCAGAGTTTTATGGGGAAAAGTGAAAGGAAAAGGAACAATTAAGTATAAAGTGGAAAATGACAAAGGTATAAAAATAGTGTGGCTATCTACATGCAAATTGATTAAAATCAAACAAAAGGAAAAATTCAGTTTCTCAGTTATACTCATCACATTTTCAGTGCTCATTAGTTATATGTGGAGCTGACGTCAGCATCATGGTGGAGTGAGTTGTTCCTTTTGTTTCTCCTGTCTAAGTTACAACCAGTAGGACATCCATGGACTGACAAAGGATTATCTACCAGCATACCAGAACGCCTGAAAGATTTATACATCTATACATCTGAAGGTGGGCTGACTAGACCTCGTGGAGGCAGTGGAACCAGGGCAGCAGTGGTGGCAGCTGTAAACCCACACATCTCTGGAGAGCTAAAGTTCAACGAGGGAGCCAAGAACATACAATGGAGAAAGGAAAGTCTCTTCAATAAATTGTGTTGGGAAAACTGGACAGCCACATGCAGAAGAATGCAAGTAGACCATTATGCTACACTACACACAAAAATTAACTCAAAATTGATTAAAGACTTGAATGTAAGACCTGAACCCATAAACTTCCTAGAAGAAGACATAGGCAGCATGTTCTTTGACTTTGGTCTTAGCATTTTTCTGAATATGTCTCCTCAAGCAAGGGAAACAAAAGACAAAATAAACAAATGGCACTATATCAAACTAAAAAGCTTCTGCATGGCAAAGGAAACCATCAACCAAATGAAAAAAAACACCCGCCAATTGGGAGAAGATATTTGCAAATCATATATCCAATAAGGGGTTGATATCTAAAATATACAAAGAGCTCATACAACTCAACAACAGAAAAACAAACAACCCAATTAAAAGATGGGCAGAAGATCTGAACAGACGTTTTTCCAAAGAAGATATACAGATCACCAACAGGCACATGAAATGATGTTCAACATCACCAATTATTAGGTAATTGCAAATCAAAACTACAGTGAGATATTATCTCATGCCTGTCAGAATGGCTATTGAAAAGACAAGAAATAAGTGTTGAAGAGGATATGGAGAAAAGGACACCCTTGTGCACTGCTGGTGGGAATGTAAATTGCTGTGGCCACTATGGAAAACAGTATGGAGATGCCTCAAAAAATTAAAAATACCACAACTAGAAGGACATGCAACTAAAATATACAACTGTGTGTTGGGGGGGGGGGGGGGGGGGGGGTTGGGGAAGATAAAGCAGAAAAAAAAAAAGATTGGCAACAGTTGTTAGCCCAGGTGCCAATCTTTAAAAAAAAAACAATTAAAAATAGAACTAACATATGATCCAGCTATTCAACTTCTGAGTATTTATCCAAAGAACATTAAAATGCTAATTTGAAAAGATATATGCACCCCTATGTTCACTGCAGCATTATTTACAATAGCCAAGACATGGAAGCAACCCAAGTGCTCATCAATGGATGAATGGATAAAGAAGATGTGGTAAATGTACAGAATAGAATACTACTCAGCCATAAAAAAGATGAAATCTTGCATTTGAGACAATGTGGATGTGCTTTGAGGGTACTGTGCTAAGCAAAATAAGTCAGACAGAGAAAGACAATTACCATATGATTTTACTCCTATGTGGAAGATACACAAACAGACATGCGGATACAGAGAAAAAAATTAGTGTATCCAATTTCCCTAGAGGGTAACAGGATTGGATCAGGGATAGGGCAAAAAGGATAAAGTGGCATATGTGTACGGTGACAAACGGCAACTAGACTTTTGGTGGTGAACATGATGTAGTCTATACAGAAGTTGAAATATAGTGAGGCACACCTGAAATTTATATAATGTTATAAACCAGTGTTAACTCAGTAAAAAAAATTTTTTTAACTATATTATATAAGTAGTTGCTAGTAAAATGGACATATTAGGGGAAAATTTCCATCATTACAGAAAATTCTATTAAACAGAATTGAAAAACTTGTATGTTAAGCTTATACAATCAGTTAAAACTTATTTACTAATTATTTGAAAGGAAATAATTGTCTTGATTCATGCCTGCTTCATTAAAAAGCAGTTAAATAAAATGATATTAAAAGCTTAGTTTTATTTCTCTTAGGTTTTCACTATGGCATGTTTTATATATAGTGTGACTATGCAAGACCCTGAATCATTGTATTCAAGAGAATTTCATGTGGTTAAAAAAGCTTCCAATGAAGCAGTTCCTTTAATTGCAAATTGCAGAGGAAAAAAGCCCAAATTATTTTATTTTTTTAAATTGTATTCTCTGAGTTCACATTACTCATATAGTTTTAAAATACCAGTCATTCATTTTACTATAAAAGGAAAGGACATCTTATCAGGTGACTTACACTAGGAGTTACTGACTATAGGTGTGTGGGGATCTCATCAAGATGGCGGCGTAAGCAGACTCTGAACTCATCTCCTCCCACGAACACAACCAGGTTACAAGTATTTTTGGAAAAAATACCCTGGATAGAGAACTGAAAACTGGATAAAAAGAATCCCCACAACAAGGAACAGTCCTGACAAAGCGGAAGAGGTAGAAATTCCTACTGGAGAGAAAAAAAGCCACTTTTGGGAGCAGCGGAGCGTCTCAGCTGGCCAGGTGGGAGCCACTCTAAGGTACGCAGCCCTCACTGGAGGAGTGAGGTCCAGAGCCGAGGTGATACTGCTATAAGCATCCTTCACACTCAGCCCAACTGAGACGGGGTCTTACTGTCTGGCTTCACTGGCTATTAACTGCAGCAAGGACACCCCCAGAAAAGCTATCAGCTGAAAGCCAAAAAGACCTGGGTCTTAAAGGGCCCATGCACAAACTCACGCATTGCAGCAACCTAAAATCACCAGAGAGAAGGGTAACAGTCCT